ATAAAAAAAACCCAACACAAACCACACTGAAGTAATTAACACGGCAGGGCAGGATGATAAATTGCAGACTTCCACCAGATAACACAGCAACCACAGTTGGAAGGATGCCAAAACCCAGATAAGCCTCAACAAAGATAATGCATACTTTGCTTCCAGCAAGGTGCTGTGTGCAAATGCCTCACTTATATCCTGTTTTCCCAGCTGCAGCTAATGAAGGGAATCAGGGCCCTTTTCGCCCCGCAACCCACGTTGCTCCCTTCTCTGTTCCTTCCTGTATGCCCTAGGATGAAGAGGGGGTGAGCCTGGGTCTTCCTCTGAATGCCCAGCCGGACTGTGCCCTTCCCCTGTTACTTCCACAGCCACCGGAGCCACGCTCCCACTCCCTGTCAGCTGTTCCATCTCGCCCTCAGAAAAGGGCATGACAGGAAGCCAGATTCACTTAACAACCGGGCGACTAACTTATCAACTGCAGTGATTCACTTAACAAAGGTGGCAAGAAAGGTCCTAAAAAGGAGGAAAATTCACTTAAGAAATGTCTCACTTAACAGATATTTTGGGCTCAAGTGTGGTCGTAACTTGAGGACTACCTGTACCTTTGCTTTCTAGTGCCCCGGTTTTTCTCCTGTTTGTCGGTCTTTGCATTTTTGTAATGCATTTTTCACACAGGATCAAAATTCAGAGGCTTGGCAACTGACTCGTATTTACGACGGCCGCAATGCCCCCGGGGTCGCGTGGTCTCCTTTTGTGACCTTCTGACAAGCAAGGGTCAATGGGGAAGCCAGATTCACTTAACGACCGTATTTGTAACTTAACAACAGCATTGATTCACTTAACAACTGCGGCAAGAAAGGTCTTAAAATGGAGCAATACTCACTTAACAAATGTTTCGCTTAGCGACATAAATTTGGGGCTGAATTGTTTTTTTAAAAAATAATTTTATATTTATGATTTTTTTTAAACATCCGCAGGTGTTTAGTAGACAGTGTATTTATTATCTGGGTCAATATATTCTGCATTCAATTCTGATAGCGATATTACCATTTAAGTATACATAGTCATACTTTTTCAACTTTTAACTTTTGCGTATAGATAATAATCATAATACTAGCTCAATACCTGTGCTTCGCTACGAAACTATGAGGTTGGGCTTAGTTTTGGGGTAAGAAAATAAGGGTAAAAGAAATCTTCCTCTGCCTCCCAGCGTCCATCGGTATTCATCTGGCTAGCATCTTGTCAGGGCGTGGGAGGTTGAGGGCTGTTTGGAAACTGAAACAGTATTTGCTGTGTGAGCAAGGAGGCAGCCAGGAGCCTGGGCGTGGCTTAGCTCAACTGTTCTGTACTAAAGCTGCTTGGAGCTCTGAAACTGAAACTTGTCAGAGTATATTCATGAACTGGGATAGAACTTAGTAACAAAGTCAGCCAATGAATAGGCATGTCAACAGACTAGACCAGGGGTGTCCAACCTTGGCAACTTTAAGACTTGTGGACTTCAACTCCCAGAATTGGAGCTGGCTGAGGAATTCTGGGAGTTGAAGTCCACAAGTCTTAAAGTTGCCAAGGTTGGACACCCCTGGACTAGACAATGGGAGCTGAATTGGAAAGTGAAACTAGAAGTGGGCTGCTTGCCTGCTGAACTAAAGTGAAACTTGCTTGCCTCCTGAAACTGATATCTGCTCTGAGCTGCTGCTGTTTGTGCTTTTGCTTATGTTACTTTGAAAGAATCTACAAATGGTATTGTAAACTTTACTCATATGATTATGTTTATAAAGAAGTTAACGATCCTGCTGAACCAGTCATCTGTGTGCTTTCTGGACTTGAATTTATCTTGCAAACTCTTAACAAAACTCCTCTGCTTGTTTCAGGAAATTACGAGGCTCAGACCTTGGAATCCAAAAATAAGTTGGTTTTATTTGCGCAAACAGGTTCCGAGTATTTTAGTGAGACTCACTTCTGAACAACCTTCTTATTGAATGGCACATGCCTATATACTTCTTCAGAAAGGGCAAAACACAGAAATATAACTTGTCAGTCATTCATTGGTTACTTGAAACACAGCTTTCCCCCTCCCCTGTTGCTAGGCTGGGATGGCTGGATTTGTCACAAACCCATCTTGCTAAACTCCCTAGCTTGTGGCTTTGTTACAAGCGAGACAAGGTGTCTTGGCAAATATGACTTTGTGACCGATAGATGATCCTCGTGGCTTGGCATTTCACAGTTCCTTGTTCTTCCTCTTGCTAATACCACATATTTCACTATCTATAGAACTTGTATCCTTATTTCTCTAAAATTAGTATATTTTTATGTCCTGCCTTATACTCGTGTTTTGCATTTGGAAGAGATTTCTTTTCAGGTGGGGAGAGGGAGTAGAACTCCTTAGCATCAGAGCATGTTAATAATAATAATAATATAGGAAAACTAACACCTCTGATGGTCATTTCACAAAATCCTTTCTTAGTGAGCCCCTAGAAGCCAAGAGGAACTTACGTGCCAAATTTCAAGTTTGTAGGCTTTATTTTTCTGGATATTTTGTGAGGATGTGTGAGTGGGATTTCGCTTTTATATATATATAGATTTTTCAGTTTTCATAATATTGTTTTCTCACTTTCTGCTGGGGGGGTGGGGCTGAATCGTTGGGTTGTAAGTCAAAGAGCGCCTATAAAATCTCACCAACTGCATTCAGCCACAGCAGCTTAGATACGAAGGATTAAAACATCAAAGTGAGCAATACCATTTCATGGCAGGTAGAGAGGATAAATAAAGCCTTTTGTAACAAGATTAAAAACTCCAGGGAAATCTCTACTAAAAAAAAAAAATCAAACAGAGCCTCTCAATAATGTAATTAATTAAAAGCAATCATGCGAAAAGCAAGGACAAAGTGTTTGAAATTCCTCTGTGCAGGAGAGGAGAATTAAGTCATCCCCATTTTGCTAATTAGAGGCTTAAGGAGGCTAATGTTCTCCTTGGCATTTTGTTCAGATAACATTTAAAAAGAAAACAAACGGGAAAATTAAGCTGACTTTGCAAAAGCGGGAAGAAGAGAAGAGCGCCTGGTGATAAACAAAAGATGTAAATAACAGAAAAAAAAATAACATTTTTCCCTGGAGGTCCCAAAGGTGCTTTTTTTTTTTTCCCAAAAGGCAACTGGACTTTCTGGTTTTTCTTTTGAAGTTGTTTTGCTTCTCATCCAAGAAGCTTCTTCAACTCTGATTGGATGGTGGGGAAGGGAAGGATTTATACTCCTTGCAGACAGCTGGTCATTTGCACCTTTTTAGAGGGTCCTTGAGGCTACTTGGAGGTTCATCTGTGTCCTCAGGGTCACCTGAGCGGTGCAAATGGGTGTGCAGCCTTCTTGGAACTACTGAAAGGACTGTTGTATCTCTCCGCATCTATTTGCATCACTCAGGTGACCCCGAGGATACAGATCAACCTCCAAGCGGCCTCAACGACCCTCTCAAAGGATGCAAACGACCAGCTGTCTGCAAGGAGTATAAATCCTTCCATTCCCCCACCATCCAGTCAGAGCCGAAGAAGCTTCTTGGATGAGAAGTGAAACGTCTTCAAAGAAAAAAAAACAAGTCCAATTGCCTCTTGAAAAATAACCACGACTTGGATGATGGAGAATCTCCGTAGATATTTTCCCTGGATGGGATTTGAAGGAGCTTTAAAATTATTTTTCAAAAGCATATTTTTAGCCTTTCCTTATTTCCTGACACTTTTTTCCAAGCTGCAAAGAGAGAGATATTCCTGTTTTTTTTTTCCAATTTTTCCCGTTCCCTCTTCCAAATCCAACTAAAACTCTGGTGTCTGTTTGTAACCTTTACCTGGGTGAAACGGTGCATCGTAAGGCAACAATTTTTGTACTGGGGTACCTCTAAAAGGAAATAACTTACACAGTGCATCCAAGATGCAGGACCTAAGACTCCTGCGGAATTAAATTTGGCCAATTTAATGATGCGCTTGATGACATAGAAATGATCATTAAGCATTTTATGACATAATAACATCATAAAAATTTAAAACCAATAAAAACAGATCATTTTTCTGCAGGAGAATGTACAAGATGGGCGGCAAATACATTTTATAAACAAGTAAATACATAACATTTTAAATTACTTTTTTCACACTAGCATCCACCATTATATAGTGGCATTTAAATAGGGGATGGAGGGAGAATTTTTTTAAAAAACCCTTAAAACAGAATTTGCAACCGTGAGATTGCAACTCAACTCATTTGTTGCGTGTGCAGGTAATCTTCGACTTACGGCCACAGTTGAGCGCAAAATTTGTTGCTAAGCGAGACATACAGTATGTGAACAGTGAGTTTCGCTCGGTTTTCTTGCCATAGTTGTTAAATGAGTCAGTGTAGTTGTTATCTTAGTCATACC